TTAGTTCATTGCAACTAAAATAGTTTGTGCGCGTTAGGTAACAACTCAATGAAGAGAGATCTTAACACGGCGGAACTGCATTGCCCACCGTTGAGCTGGTTCATTTGACTTAACAAATGTGAGGGCCTCCGGTCCCCCAGAACCTGACCCTTGAGTAATCGCCGTAAACGAGCCTCCGGTGAGACCGCGAATGTCGCGAGAATCCTGTCTTTGAGCGCTTGGTATATGTCAGCAGGCGGTGGATCCGCCTGTATCAAATCTCGGATATGCGGTATAACCTCTTGATCGAGGCTAGCGATAAGGTGGTCGACTTTAGTGCTATCGACGGTTATATTCGCGTTTCGAAACGACGCTTCAACACGCGAAAACCAATCTTCCGGGGCCTGTCGCCAGAAGGGCGGAATCTTAGGCACCCGGTACGATTCTACGCGCGCGTCTTCGTCCGGCATGTTTAACCTATGAGACGCGTACCGCGAACCGAAAAAATATGAGAATACAAATACACAAACAAGGAGAAATACCGGGATGAGGCAAAGCATACGCCTCGTGTGTCTCGATGTTCTTGTAGAGTTGTTGTCCCTCGCAGGAGGTAGAGCTCTGACTCGAGACGTCCGTCGGCGTGGAGAGGATATAGGCGCTGTCCTGCGTCCCGCCGGACGGCGGTGCCTGCTGGATGCGCTGCCAGGGGCGTCCCTCACAGCCGATGTTGCGTGCGCGCCGGGGGGCTGAGTGCGCAACGCGTCCCGTTGATGTAATCCTCTGCGCGACGGGCTGAACCCGCGCGCTGCCGGTATGGTCCCGTACGCTGCGGTATGGTCCCGTGGGTTGAGTGGTGTGCTGTACGCCACAGTGTGGCAGAGAGCCGCTATTAAGCGTGCACCGGTAACCCGATAAAAATTCAATTCATAGACTTCGGCAACCGGGAGATGAAAGAAGGTTAGCCGGTATGGACCCGTTGGCCCGCCAACGTCCGCCGGTATGGACCCGTTGGCCCGATGGCGAACGCCGGTATGGTTGCGTAGTTCGCGCGTCCGCAGGTACACTTGCGTAGGCGCGGAGACGTCCGCCGGGATGGCTGTGCAGGATGCACGCCCGCCGGGATGACTCGCTGGCGCGAAGAGGTCCGCCGGGATGGCTGCGCGGAATGCGCGCCCGCCGGGGATTGTCCCGTATGCGCGTGGGCGTCCGCCGGGATGACTGCGCAGGATGCGCGTCCGCCGGGATGACACTTGCGCTACTCGGTGTATGCGCCCTGGACGTAGATCGGCCGCGTCGCCTGGAATACCTTCTGATGAGGCCCCGGTGACGTAGGTTCTTGGCGGGAACTCGGCCGGTTCTCTCTCGTCCCAAAATGGCCTCCTCGCTGTCCGCTTGGAGGTAATGGACTCGCCCGAAGTTTCGAGGCGGTCCCAACATGGATTCGCCCGACGTCGTTAACGTGGAAATAGGGCCGTCCGCGGATCCTCGAGGATGTTATGGCTATCTCGAGGTCCGCTCGCGGGCTGCCAGTCCGCCCGATACGCCGGGGATGACTTGAGCCCTGTCGTCGCTCCCTGATACCGCTGATGCAATCGTGAATCGCGCGGATGCGCGATCACGTCGGGGTCACCACTTGTGGGCTTAAGTATGATTCAATGCCCCGGCAGAAGTGCCACTGTACTTCTGTGCCGGTAGCTAAGGTTTCAGCTAAGGCGGTAATTATACCTCTCACGTAAATACGTATAATGAGTACTTTATTATATTCCCAATCGTACGTCGAGGTGATCGGTCTCGATCGTACGAGTTGAGAGGAATGACTGTTACAATACTTGTCCCGCTCGGACAGCGCCACCAACGACCATGAGTGTGTCGTGGTATAGATGGGCAACTCAAGTCGCCACAAGTATCTCGCGCGTCGCTCCATCTCCCGCTCATCGATCGATTTTCTTAAATGCCTTCCGAGTCCGGCCTACCGTCTCCTGCATCCTCATTCGCTCAAACGTGTAAATTTATTACTCGATAACTATTGTTACTTTGTACCGCGGTACATGATATTTCTCCTTAGGGTGCCTTCCGTTTCACGCATTGAATGCATAGATCGCATCCAATGCGCGCAGCGCGTTGACGATATCGTTCCGTTTCCATTAATGTGCCTATGCGCTCTTGGAAACGGAACGGATTTTGATGCGTTTGATATGAAACGA